CCTAATCAACAAAGGTACTACTTACAAATCTTGGATTAATCAAAATCAGAACATTTATATTCCCTATTATGCAGCTCATATTGTTGGTTCTTATACTATGAACAATGTTGAGTTTGCTATTAAAGCAGTGGATTCAGGTGTCCTAAAACCATTATTAGAGCTTTTGAGAGGGAATATGACTTGGGTTGAACAAAGGGTAGCTGTTAGAGCAATTGGTCATTTAGCAAGCTATGATAAAACTTTCAAAGATGTGGCAATTTATGAGAAAGAAATTGTTAAGTTGGCTATGAAATTAGCTTCCACATGTGTTGAAGTTGTGTACAAAGAGTTTGTTGGAGTGAAGGATTTAAATATGAGGTTAAAATATCATTGTGATTTGTTGACTAGAGGAGTTGGAGGTCTTGAAATGGAAAACAGGAAAGCTGAGGAATGGGCTAGTCAGCTTCAATGTTGGAGTTTGCATCTTCTAAATTGCTTTGCAATTAAAGAGAGGTGCTTAAATCTCATTTGTGAGCAAAAATTTTTGAAGGACTTGAGTGAAATGTGGGGTGGATTGACTAATGATACTTCACCAGGAGGGGTTGGATTAATTAGAGTTTTGTGTTATAACAAAGATGGAAGAAGATATATAGCAGAATCAAAGGATGTAATCAAGAATCTTTGTAATCTTTCAAGATCTTCAGATGACTGGCAATATATGGGAATAGATTGCCTAGTACTGCTTCTCGACGATTCAGGTACTGTTCAACTGTGTGACCACCTCATCATCTAAACGTTTAAGCTGTTAAAAAGAGCACCCTTTTCACTATTAAGTTATATTATGTTCAACATGCACACCACCTCATCTAAATGCATAAGCTATTAGAGAAATTAAAACGCGCTTCTAATTATTTACTTATATTATGTCTCAACAGGTACAAGGTACAAAGTTCTTGAACTGGCTTCCATGTGTCTTGTTGACTTGGTTGAACTTAAGACCCTTGGAGGCAAATCAAATGTTGGTAACACAATCACAAGAACTCTTCTTGCAGATTTCAAACAAAGAAAGGTAAAAATCAAGAATATTGGTGTTCAACAAGTTCTTGAAGAAATATGGGATTTAAAGGTAGATAGGAAGAAAAGGGAGCAAAATATGAGTGATGAGAAACTTGAAGAGAAAAGGGTAATGGTAAGTCTAATGAAACAACAAGGGAACCATAGTTTTTGGTTAGGAAAAATTGAAGAAGCACTAATGAAATACAATGAGGCATTGGAGTTATGCCCATTAAGATTTAGAAAAGAAAGAATTGTGCTTTATAGCAATAGAGCACAATGCAAATTGTTGTTAGGAGAGGTTGATGATGCTATAAGTGATACAACAAAAGCTCTTTCTATTTCATCTCCAACTAATTCTCATGCCAAAAGTCTTTGGAGAAGATCACAAGCATATGATATGAAAGGATTGGGTAAAGAGAGTTTGATGGATTGTATTATGTTTGTTAACTGTTGTTTTAAGATGGATTCAATGAAGAAAAATATGAGAATCCCTTATTATGCAGTTAGAATGATTAATAAGCAGATGGAGTCAACTTGGCTTTTTAAAAATGCTCAATTGAAGGCTTTTGTTGATCTCAGTGAAAAACCAAATCAACCACATGAAATAAGCCAAAAGGAGCAGAAAAATGGCAGAGTTACTGGAATTCTATTGCAAAGGAAGGGTTTCATGGAAGGTATTTTTCAAGATTTTATGTTGTGGGAAGTTATAAAAATACAGCCACATATTTAAGTTACATACACTTGAAGGAGAGCATTTGGCGTAACTGGTAAAGTTGTTGTCATGTGACCAGGAGGTTATGGGTTCGAGCCGTAAAAACAGCCTCTTGCAGAAATGTAGGGTAAGACTGCATACGATAGACCCTTGTGGTCCGGCCCTTCCCGGTCCACGCGCATAGCGGGAGCTTAGTGCAGTGGGCTGCCTTTTATACACTAATAATAAAGGACAACCTAGTGCACTAAGCTCTCGCTATGCGCAGAGTTTAGGAAGTGTCGTACCACAAAGATCCATTATATGCAGCGTTACTATTATATACACTAATAGTGTAACCTGTCAGTCGTTGTTTTGTTAGGTTACTTATTAAATGTTTAACATAGAGATTTACCTGTAATTACCTTATAAAATGACATGATTATATAAACATATTTTTCACCGTCCGAGAAGTCCAAATGTGTTTTAAAAATGCAACCATTTTTGCAGCTTTTCAAATTTATTATATATGTGAGTATATATGTGACTGACATAAATTATTTCTGGTAAATTGATGGTACATGTGAACTTTTTTTCTATTTTTCAATCTTTCAGGGCTGTCCAGTATCTCAGAAGAACCTCAGATGTTTGGAGAGGGTGACATAATTAGCAGGAGAAAGCTGGAAAGAACCAGAGAAAACAAGAAAGCTGTATTTGCTCAGTCAGTTTAGTGAAACTGAACATTAATTCCCTTGAATTATTGTACCTAGTTTAACCTAATCATCATATAATCAAAACTTTTTCCCACCTTCAATATATTAATATATTTTCGAATATGATCATTAAAAAAATATTTCCAATTCTTATTGTTTCTAATTTAGAATTTTTGTGTTTGTATTCATCTACTTGGGAGGTTGATCCAGTGATAATCCAGGCACGAATTGCAGTATCAACTAAACAAATTTAGCTTTTGTGTACTAGAAACTATTTGTTTTCGTTTTTGGCCATTCTGAAGATGGTGTGATCAGCAATGAGTGGGAAGGACCACATATCCACATTGTATTTATTACTACTTGAATTAAAGAATTTCAGCTAATTAAAATGAAAACAAATGCTTATTATAACTAGTGGAGTAACTTTTTTTGCAGTAGTCCTCACAATCCACTATCTCGATGATCTTAACTTTTTGTATGTACTTTCCATTGGTAACAGTACTTTTCTTATGGATTTAACTTTTATACAATTACCACACCACGCAGAAGAATATCATTTTCAAGTCGTTTAAAAGATAAATACTAAGTTATTAGTCTATAATATGTGGGTTTAGTAAGTTGAAATACAAGGCAAGTTTTCTACTATAATGAGTTAAATTGTATTGATATTTGATAATGCAAAGTTTATTTATACAGGTGAATATAAGTAAAATTATTAATTTTCTCTCGGAAAAGAAAAAAGAAGACTAAACCCTATCCAAGATGCCCCACCAATCAAATAAGGCACTGCAGAGCCAGGCCCCAAAGTACGCTTTTGCTCGCTCCACAAGCGATCGAAAACACATGCAGATTCACACAAGAAACAAGACTTTAATCAAGCTCACCATTATTTATTTTTCTTTTCCTTATTTTCCGGGTGAATTAACATATAAAGAACTCTTAACTATTTCAAACAGATAACAATTAAATTTGAAAGTGGTTTTAAGGATACGCAGATTAATTCGATACAAACGATAAATTGTGTTAGATTAAACAGATAAAGAAATAGTAATTATCAAACCACTTGAGGAGGAGGATTCCAGCCTTAATGAAATATCCACCCTCGATCCAAACTCACAATGGCCAACATTGATGAACACGAATAAAAACTTTCAATAACAAAGAAAATAATAGTATATTGCCTTGGTATATTGCTTGCGTTACAATGTGTTCAATGAGTAATTAGACTCCCCTTTATATAGTAGGGGTGTTTTACCCCAAGTATAATTCTATAAAAGGTAAAAAATCTTATGTTTAACTAATCACCGGTTTTCTATCGATACGTGCCGAGATCCACGCTGTGATATTCGGCCGACCGCAGATATTACGGCCTTTTGTTGGTCATGCTCGGTTGCCCAACAACGCTCTCCAAAGTCTTTTGGGATTTGGACCGATCCCGGATCATGGCCCCGATATCCTCGAGGGTAGGCGTCATGCCCCCGGACCCTGGCTCGATGAAACCCTTGCCTCGATTCTGGTTCCTTGTCATCACGTCTCTAGCTCGATTTACCTTATCGGAAACCGGGGCGTCCCACAAGACCGGTTTCACCCGTATACACCTACCTTGCATTGCAACTCTCTTGGAAAGAAATTCATGGAAATTGAATGACTTCTGGAAGCCAATATTTCTATAATAACTCATGTACATGTGAATTTCTAGCTTAGCTTATTCAAATTGAATATGGTGATCAGGGGCGGATTTAGGGGGGCGCAAGGGGTTCACCCGAACCCCCTTCGCCGAAAAAATACACTGTATATATAAGGCAAAATTTGTTTTTTACCTCTATGTATTAAGTTTTGAACCCCCTTAACATAATTTAAAAGTGTAGTTTAGTGGTCAAGGGGGATCAAAATCTACATAAGGTCATGAGTTCAATTTCCATTAGATACAAATTATTTTTTGAACCCCTTCGTGGAGATCCTGCCTCCGCCGCCACTGATGGTGATGTCACCTACCTTTTCACCTTAATTCTCCGTCAAAAGCGGAGTTTAATTATCTGGACGTTAAGTTAGGCAGGTTTTCACCAAGAAGATAGTGGTATAGTATATATCAACAATTGTAGACGCAACGTCTGACTTTTGTGCTCTTCCAAATTATTTAAATCCTTCTTTTTGAGTGTATGAATAATAATTGACATAATTTATGGTAAAAATGCAATAAATTGTAATATTGAACTCGCAAACGAGTACTTACTGGAATAAATAACATTACTTGGAAGAAATTGTGGTCCATTCTGGTCTCTCATTGTTTTGATAATGCTTACACCTGGCATTCCATTATTAATCAGTGACAACATGTATAATAATAATAAATTTTGGTGTTCTTTGGTTTTTGAAGCCACCAATCGATGAGAAATTATTTTATGCTAAGTCCTCAAAAGACCAATTTCAAAAGAAAAATCGATCAATTATATGATAGGAGAGACATTATTGCATCTGTTGGCATAAATTATTTATAACAATTAGCAAACGGATTTAATTTTCCAGAGAATAGTTGTTTGATCTATCACAGTAATACACAAAAATAAATAGAAAGGTTGACTTCATTTCTGTTTTACGAAGTACAAAATTTAGGACAAGACTCCAGTATTTTGCAAGTGTATCATGATTCAAAATTAGTTCTGACCAATTTAAAGTAACACTACGTAGTATTTTCGTGCAGTAGAAATTCTCCAATCTACCATTTGTCTTTCAAATAAACGAACATAAAACGTCGTCCTTCAACGAAAGTTCACAGCAGACTGTCTCAAAGTATAAGTCCTGGCTCTTAATTGGATAATGAAGCACAAAAAGAGCATGCTATTGACTATCACAACAGTCACAAGTGCATAATTTCAACTAGGACACATTTTTTTTCCTGCCTTATTCTGTAACTAAGGGAAAATATAACCATTCGTCGTGATCTGGCAAAGTTCAACTCTATCTGGAATCAGCAAGACAATTTCTTGACAAAATTCCTTTGTCAGCTATAAATGTTAGTACTAGTTAAAGCTTTCAAAAGCATGAAAACTGAAACGGGATTTAGATACTCTCACCAAAATTAATGCCTTCATTCTGTCTTGGCCTGAGCAATGGTAAATCCAACCTGCTTGTTTATCTATGTTTGAAAACTCAATATGCATCCACCATAATGATCTAAGTTCCACCTCTCCTTTAATCCTCTTCTTCTACTACTGGAATGTACCACGACGGTATGTGCTCCGAATTGCTCAGTCTGTAGTTCAGCAGAACCTCTTCATCACAAATTGCTCTAGTTGCAACAAAAACAAGTGTCTTCAGAACAGGAACCTCTGATTCAATATTGCTGGACTTCCACGGTTTGAACCTGAAGCTGCCTAATCTCCTCATCTCTGTTTCTTCACCATTCCCAAATGAAACATTAGGTATATAGGGTTTCAGGTCCTTCTCGAGGAGAGGAAAATCATAAGGGCATACCATTACATTAGGGACCATTCCTTTGGCTGGATGGTTGGCGAAATGAGCGAAGGCAAGAGGGTTTCTCCTTTCCAACACTTCACGGTTACCTCCAACGTGTGTTTCATCTAACGGCTTGCTGAGCATCCACCCAACTCTGTCAGAACCTTTTGCATCAGGTTGCATAGTGTGCTTAGGTTTGGCAAGACTAGTCCAATCCCATATTTCACGAGATTCACCACCAACACCCCAAGGCTGTGCATTGATCACAGTCCCATCATACCGTATGATCAAATGTGAATTTTGGGCATCAATTCTAGGGTATCCAGGAATATAGCGGTAATAAGCAGGAGAGTAAACTACTCCAGGATAGAATGCTACTACAGAACCAATATTGGCTTCACCATGTAAGAATAAACCTTTCCCGGCATCCTCATGAGGAATTTGAGACGGTTTGACCTCGAGAGTGTAGCCCATAAGATCCTTTAACCTCTGTGAAACCTCTGTGCACTGCAATGCCTTGGTTTCAGGTACAGCTGTGCTGAAAATTTTATCAGTAATCAAAATCCAGCGCGATGCATGCAGCTACGAAGCCACTGCAAAGAGCAGATAAAATATAATTTCTGCTAAACCACCATAGAGTCTCATGATATGTGATTTTATGTTATCGCCTATGTTGCAAAGGCTCAAATTTTTACATTACCAGAACTGTCCACCAACTTTATTACGAATAATGTTTTTTAATAAATAATTCGAAGGAAAAATAATAATGACGATTCGCCCCTCCCAAAATGAAATGAAACAGTTGAAGTAACATTCAACTGGAATAGTTGCTCCATTCCTTAAGCAATTTATGTCTAGCTCTCAGTAGCCATATTCTTGGTGTTCTAAGCTGAGCGTTAGATGTGATCTACCTAATTCACGTGGAGATGTGCACAAAGTAGAGCATACTGAATAGTTCCCGAAAAGATAAAATGAAGAAGAGAAGTTTCACTTTTGAGGCATTACCTCCTATTAAAGAATCCAGATTTAAGCTGAGCTATTCCTCCTTCTGTTTGTATAAAGAAGTGCATATCCATCTTAAAAATTCTAGATACTTGATCAACTTCTACATAATTCAGTAATATTCTAAACCAGAAATCTCAAGTAACTCAGTGATTTCCGACCACATGAGACAAGAGACAGGAGTAATATTTCAGCATCTACCTCAATAACAAACATGTCCTCAACATTGGTTGAAGGCTAATGGTGTTTAATTTAAGAATGATAGGACAAAGTAGTAGCATTAACGATATTCCCAGATATATCCTGGAAATATACAGCCAAAGAAGTTGAATGACAGCATGAAGCAAGGTAAAGTAATGTCATGACAAAGAAGAAGCAGGACATCCAATGGTTGCCAACACTGAAGTAGGTTACAAGTCAAAATTCCAAACAAGTTTCCACAACACAACAACAAAGAAGTGCACAGAAAATTAAGTTTAAGATGCAGGGGATTCTTACCAGTGTCAACTTGTAGTGGAGAATTCCGCCCAACAGCAACCCCGAGACCACTGCTATCAGGAGAAGAACTTGTTGTTATAGGTAATGTGGCCTGATTGTCTTTGAACTTATGATCAGGGAGTAATATGTCATCCATATGTCCGCAAAAGCTTGTGACCTGAGAATGCACATTCTCTTGGACCTGCTTCTGTTGATCAGCTAAGGAGGCCTTGTTAGCCATATTAATAATCTCCTCCGCATCAGCTTCATCAGCATTCCTTCCTAAACGGTTGTAACTGAAAGCAAAGTTTATCATGGCAAGACGAAACTACAGTAGGCTCAACCTTAACTATTCAAAAAGATACATTTAACCGCAATTTTTAAGACTTAAAAATATTTAGTTACTTCAATTATTTCAACACGGCGATAAACCAAGAGTAAAATAGGAAAAATGACACTATATAGCCGCTCTCAAAATAATAGCCAAAAATATATATATTTTTTGTATATACATACATTTTGTATGTTATATACAAAATTTATACAAATTTTATACATTTTTTCGGCTATCGAATGTTAATAGTTTCTGGCGCGGGCTAAAAGTGAAAAAAGCGCAATAAAATATCAACCAATTCATGTCCAAACGCCTACTTAAAGGAAAGGAAATTTTACCTCCTATAGCAAACCATTACACCCTATTTATTATAAACCAAAACAATTTCGAAATATTATTACTTATAGCTACCTTTTCTATTTTATAGCAAAATAGGTATTTATTTTATACCCTACCATTGAGGCGTGAAATATGCCAGTTATGCTCTTTCTCTCCCTCTATCAGCAAGATTCTCAATCCTCTCTCTTCTCCCTCAAATCTCTCTCCCTTTTCCATCAAGGCAGTCGTCGTAGCAACCATTTTTGGTGGCGATGGTGGACTTTCTGAAGCGAAGAAAATAGATCTGAAGCGAAGAGGAAGTAGGCAAACAGATCTGGCCATGGCCACGGATTGAGCTTTTGGAAATCTGAAGCAGAGTCACCGGAGAAGATTTGAGGGCCGGGTTTTTGTTTGTCTCCATTTTTAGTTTTAAAATACAATATATACAGTTTTTGCTTGGATGGAAAACACCTATCTCTGGCGAACTTTTTTCTCTTCTTTACTATTGAGTCACATACAATGATACAAATACACTCAAATACATTGTATTTGTATAAATACATTATTTTTTTCGCCTGTATTTTATGTATTCTGTAGGTCTGTATTTTTTGAATATAGCCGAATATCACTGTTAACTTTCTTCTCTTCTTTGTTATTGAGTCACATACAATGATACAAATACAATGTATTTTGTACAAATACCCTCAAATACATTGTATTTTTGTATAAATACATTATTTTATCGCATGTATTTTATGTATTTCGAAGGTCTGTGTTTTTTAATACAGCCGAATATCACTATTTTTGTGATTTTTTGTTGTTTGAATACAGTTGAATTGAATACGGTGAATTGAATACAATGAACAATAGTGAATAATGAATATCAGTGAATTGAATACAATGTATAACGTCAAATTGAATAGAAAGGTATACACCCTATTTCTTGATTTTTTGTTGTGTTAAATACAACTGAATTCCATATACTGAAATTGAATACAATTCAATATTGCGCTTTTTGTTATTAAACACTCGTAATCACTATTTTTAGGCGTATTACCTTACTGCATTTATAAATACATTCGCGCGAATACATGGAATACAGAATTAAACAGCTATAATCCCTACTTTTTAGGCGGATTACCTCATTGTATTTATATAAATACAGTCACGCGAATACATGATTAAGCACAGTAGCAACGATTTTTTTGTAGAATTTGATTTTGTTGAGTTAAATTAGGAGTGATACACGCTAATTGATTCTCATTCCGTTATTAAACAACTGGACTCCCTAATTATTAGGCGAATTCCGCGACTGTATTCATGAATACAGTAGCGCGAATACAGCGAATACAATCTGGTAGCAACGAAATTTTAATGATTTTGTTGAGTTAAATTAGGAGTGATACACGCTAATTGATCCTCTTTCCGTTATTAAACAACTGGACTCCCTACTTATTAGGCGAATTCCGTGAATACAGCGAATACAGTCAGATAGCAACGAAATCTTAGCTATATGAAGTAAATATGTATATGGTAGTTATAGAAAGTTAATAGCCACTAAACTATAGTGGTTTCTGAAAATTCTTCCAAAGGAAGTGCTTATAAAACTGTATTATTGCACCGAAATGACAAATATATAGCAACTAGCCAATTTAACTATTTTCAAATTGTACAACCCCCCNCCCCCCCCCCCCCAACACCCTTTGCCTTTCACTTGCAATAAGTAAATAAATCTTACCTAGTATAAAGGAAAAGGAGATTTATGTCAGCTTCAAACTGAAGATGGTTTGCCTCTCTAGCTCTGGCGAATGTGGGGCTTTTAGCAAGAATTTTCACCGCCTGAAAATTGTGTCCCGCAGCAAAAAGAATTCAACTTTATACAATTAACTGTGTCAATTCAATAAGCAACCCCACATTATAAATGACCTCAAGATGGTCATTGACAAAGAACGAGAGAGCAAAGAAATGAAGAAGAAACAACACAGAAGCAAAGTATNGGGGGGGGGGGGGGGGTTGGGGGGAGAACCTCTTGAAATTTGTGGAAGAGGAAAGCCATGGAGAGGTAGCTCGATCGTTGCCTCCTGATGTTCTTGACCGCTGCAGCTCAACTTTGAGGCTTCGTATTTTAGAAAAGATCAAGGTCCAATTCCAAAAATGGCCCCTTATGTTTTGAGTAGATCCAAATAGTCTGTTAAATATATTTGAACAACTATTTGTCCCCTTCAAATTTTTAAGAAATTATGATTGTTAGATTTGACGAAAACTATAAAAATTTAATGGGAACTCATATTTTTCTTAAAGACTACAAACAACTCAATGTAAATATCAAATGAAATAAGATTATATCTTAAGATATAAATAAGGGTAAAATAGTTAAAAGTCTCTCATAATTAATATTTTTAAGGGACGCGTAAAAGAGAACCACGATAGCAGAAGGAGTATATTACTTTATTTTTGTGTCTGATGCATTTTTTCTGGAATACTATTCTTGGTCTATTTCTGATATTTTGTTAGATTTTATTGTAAAATTTTGGGATTTGACAACATTTTCTTAGTGTTTTCAATTATGATTTTTACCGTTCTCGTTAAATCTAACATAAATTCTTATTAAATGTACAAATATCAAAAGTACTCATTTTTTATAAACTTAAAAGGTAAATATTTCTCAAAATCATATTTAAGAAATTATTTTTAACTTATTTTTCTCATTTTCTCTAAAATATCACAATCGGTATTGTGATTAAATACCAAAGAGAATAGAGAGAACTTCATTTATAGCCCATCGGGCAAAACAAATATCATCAGGTAGCCCAAAATTATAATATGCATTTTATAGCCCAAAAGTACTTCTAGTGGCTAGCCACCGAACTATATATCAGACCCACAAGCTCTGTAAAAAAAATGGATCTTACAAAGGAGATTAAATCTCCAGCATAACATTTCATAGGTTCACTGGAGAAATAATTTTCGACCCGAAATGATTTAGCCGGAAAACTTCACGGTCGTCGGAAAGCTATATACTGGCCAGATCTACCGAAATTCAAATTAGCAAGCAAACCATCTTTCAGATCTAGATTTTTATAATATCAAAATCCCCAAAACAGTAAATAAAATGAGAAGAAAGAGTCGCCGGATTTAATGGAGGGTTGCCGGTGTTTGAGTTTCCGTCCAGATCTAAAGCCAACGAGATCGAGCACAGTGGGTTAGACTGACTGAGTTTTGATTTCAATTTCACGATAAAGTTCGGTTCTTCCATCCAAGATAAAGCGTCCCTTTTTATGTTTTTACAAAGGTGCAAGTCATTCGGTTTCTACTTGAGTTCAATCTGATGGCTTTCCTTCTCTCCTTCTTCCTATTTATTTACCTTTTTATGTTTTTGAATCCACTAATTGAAAACCATTCACTTGTTTCACTCATAAAATCTTGTCACTCTCTATTCTCATTGCTTTTTTATTAGGTTTTAATAACCTTTTTTTTTCTTGGGGTAATTCTTATCTTCCCGTTTCAACAAATTCTCTTGTTTTATCTTCACAGTTAGCTTTCACTCTTAACACTTCCGTAATTATTGTCAAACAAAAAATTACATATGCAAATCTCATTTGTGTTATTTTGTCCAATGTAGAGGTAGACCATGTATTACATTTTTAGACTGTATTAAATTGGAGAGCGGATTTTTTTTTTGAATATTGGTATATTACAAAATATATACAAAATAGACATTCACTATACAAAAATTATATAAAATAGACTGTCACTGTACAATTTATATATAATAGACTGTCACTATGAAAAAATATACAAAAATAAATTATCATTATACAAAAAATATACTAAATAGACTGTTACTATACAAAAAATATACAAAATAGACTGTTATTATACAAAAATATACAAAATAGACTATCACTATACAATTTATATACAATAGACCGTCACTATATAAAATATATACAAAATAGACTGTCACTATACAAAAATATACAAAATAGATGTAACTGTACAAAATATATACAAAATAGATGAAACTATACAAAATATATACAAAAAAGACTGTCACTATACAAAAATATATGATACACTCCAAATACACAGTGTGCACACATTACACATACAAAATTGTATGTAATTTATATACGTTATATTTACATATAAGAAAATACACATTATATACAATTTTGATACATTGTTCAGACAGATTATACATTCACGATACAAAATACATTTGGGGTACACAAATATATACACTTTAGATACACAAGAACACTCGAGATAGGCTCAATATACACTAAGGACACACTGTCGAACTTAGGATACAATATTTATACATTGCAAAATAATGTTGGATTACTAACACCTTCTCAATATACACCTTCTCAAGTTGACATAGTAAAATATTGTAAATACTGTCACGCTGAAATCTCAAGTTGGATTTGGTCGAAAATCAATCCCGAGATTGGTGTCCATGCTTCACTCAAGTTCGATAGCTTAAAAGAAGAGAAGAGCCTTGCAAAACCTCATTATTATTTAATTATTCCATCATATAAAAATAAAAAACTATCATGATAGCATATCTTGAAAACAAGCTACACATGAAATTTAATAATCTAACATCATGTGCAGGCAAAATAGTATATAGCACTCAGCCACCTTCTTAGTGTGTGAAAAATGACCTGCATTATATATTTCATTCAATTGTTAGCTAATACTTATTAGAGCCAGAAGTACATTTAAAAGGGCAAAAAAGGGTTGCTCTATCGCGCCAGGTAGGGGTCGAACCTACGACCTTCAGCTTAGGAAACAAACGCTCTACCCACTGAGCTACAGACGTTTGTGTTGTCATACTCATTCTTTTCGGCTACTATATGCAATACGTTTGGGCCGAAGGGCCATTTTTTGTAAGTAGGACAAAATATGGGCTATTAAAATTTTGAGGGGTTATAAAGGTAAAAATTGCACGGGGCGCCCTATTTGGTCGCCCCCATTTAATCTATACCCATTTTTTAAAAACCTTTTAACTTGTACCCACTTTTTAAACAACTTCAGCTCCCTTTCTCCTCCTCCTTCTCCTACTTCATTTTCTTTTTTCTTCTTCTACAACGACGACTTCAACATTGCTCTCTTTGATTAATGAAGTTAAAGCAAATATACCGAGGACTTCCATTTGGATTATTATAACATTAAAAACCAGTTTCCTCATTGTCTGGAAACACAACTCCGTCATCCATTGCTGGAAATTTACTTTATACCGTGAATGTTTCTGCTCCAGCCTTTTACAACAAGTTTCAAATTCATTCTTTCCCATGCACATGGAGTTTGTTCTTCTTTTTCTTTTCTCTTTTCTTTAGGATGTCATATATTCAGAAAAAAATAATATCTTCTACAAAAAACTTAAAAAATAAATAATTTTACTGGCTTGTCCAGACGCCCCAGATTCGACGTTTCTGCCTTGGCATCATGGTTTTGCGGATTGATCAATTGAAAAGCATCAATTACCACCTTCCTTTTAACACTCTGAATTGGATCTGATTACGTAAAATTTGGGTGAGTTATCAAAAACTAGAACATCTTGATAGTGGGATTCCCCAGTTATAAAGACAAAAACTTCAGCTCTAGAGCGGAAATTTTTTAATTACAACACAAAAACTTTAGCTCTAGAGCTGAAGTTTCCCAGTTACAACACAAAAACTTCAGCTTTAGAGCTGAAGTTTTACAGTTACAACACAGAAACTTCAGCTCTAGAGCTGAAGTTTCCCTGTTACAACACAAAAATTTCAGCCCTAGAGCTGAACTTGAGGCCCGGCTACTAGAATGTTGAAGTTTTGCGTGATTGTCTTTGCTACTTCAGCCCCGTATGCTGAAGTTATACGAAAAAGCGGATACGCTTGCAATTTTTTTTGCAAAGCTAACACAAGTTAAAATGTGACACAAAAAGCGGGTATAGATGCAAATACGCCGCCGTAGAGGGTAGTTTTCTCAAGAGAATAACACTGGGCCTTATATAAACGGGCTTCCAAGCCCAAACCGGCCCTGGTGACACGGACTCGCACAGTGACACTGCTCCCAATCTTCCACCGATTGGTACTTCGTTCGACGGGTAGCAATGGTGATGACCAACTTCAATGGTACTGGTGTAGGTTTCGGTACGATAAATCTTCACTCGCCGACTGACTTTAGTTCTTGTCTTTCTTTATTTTTGTGTACTTTCATGTACTGATGCAAAAAATAACAAAATTTGGATATTGTGTTTAGGTGCTGGCATTGGTTGCGGTTTTGGAGTAGGATGGGGATTCGGAGGTTTGCTTCTTTCCAATCTCTTACTTAACAGTTTTATTGTGTTTGCATCAGCTAAAACAATTTTCACTTAGTACCAATCAAATGGTCCAGCTCGGACACAGGGAAATATGTGTTGTATATTAGGAGCTTACTGGGGTTGAGTTTTTTTTTGTGTCTCTTATATTGATTCTCAATTTGCTTTGATGACTTCTTATAATTAGTAGTGAGACAGTGATTAAACTATGGTATTTCAATATTAGTTGAGTGGAAAAATTTTCATCTTTATTACATGCCTGTGAATTGGGGTAGTATGGATTACACGACTCGTCAGCCATGAAAATATGGTATTGCAGAAAGGGCAGTACTTAATCCATATTCTTGGGCACCAGTTTGGTAGATCTTGAACATAGATTGAAAGATTGTACATGAAAGTACATGATTAGTTAATCTGCATCCAAGTGCATGATTTCTCTAGTTTATATAGCACTAAGGTGTTTGGTAGAATTTCATACATGTAGAATGCAGATGTCAGAAGACCGTGAACGTATGTTCAAGAAAATCTAGAACACTACTTAATAATGTAGAATGCGGTCATTGTTGCTGGAAATGCATATAAGATTTTTTGAGGATAGTAGCTGCTGTGTTGTTTCTTATTAATAAGTAAAAAAAAAAAAATATTTGTAAGAATAGTTAACGCTAAGATAGTGATGGTAGTTAGAAAAAAGGGGGTATCCCCTCCAAAGACGACGACAACAACAACTATGCCTCATTCCTAAACAAGCTGGGGTTGGCGATATGAATCTTCATTCCTTTCAATTAGCTCAATGCATATCGCCATCGTTACAAAGACACACACCTATAAATTATAATGAATTGAGCTAATAAAGTCTATTGTCCTATCTACCTCGTATACATTTTCTGGTCACACCAGAGAGCTATCAAGCTCAAATACATATTTCAGAATATGTAGAGCAGTTGGCTTTTCCCACAATGCATATCTGGTTCCTTTCTTTCCATAAAACCCAACAGATGTATGCTGGAATTGTCTTCCTCAGCTCTTACTTTCCTTTACAGCTAGTGGCATTATCTGGTTTATCCCAAACATGTTCAAAACAAGCCCCAAAGTTATTCAGCAATAGAATAGTGCAGAAACAGATGGCTGTTGTCTTTAACCTCTTTTAAGAGGAATTAACCAAAAGGAAAGATCAGTACTTTTTGGCATCTTCTTGGAAGGGAACATGTTAATGCTTCTATCCTCATAGAGAAGGTTGTTTCATGGTAGTAGCTATATCAACTGTGCATTTTGGAAGTTACGAAATCTATAGATTTACCTATTGAAAGCAGCGATAGCTAAGGAATAAATGGACCTGAGGAGACTTCTGAAGCATGTTTTTTGTGAACTATGTCGACTTAGAAGCTGCTACTGTTTCAGTTAAGCTGAGGTTAAGGCAAGGAACAAATGCATCTAAACAAGTCTCCGCTCTAAGCCTTTAGACGTGTGATCTCCAGTATCCCTTGCTATAGATAATCCCCACCTTCTCTTGCTTTCGCTAGAGCTTAAGTGCATGGATAGATGTACCAGTAAACAATATATGTTAGTTGACTAAGATGTCACTTATCTATTATTTTAGCGCCATGTGAGTGGTAGATTTGGGAAGCAAGCATTCCTGGAGATACCTAAGTTTCGCTGTTGGTCCCAGTCTCGAGCACGGAAGACTGGTAGTTGGCATGATCTGCCGCAATTTGCTGGTGCAACCTTTGTCTTCTTGTTGATTTTCAGAGATTGGCTGTGCCATATCGGCACCATTGAGGATTCTTACTCCCAGCTTGGTTATTCAGGACCTCCCAAGAAATGGAGGAAATATTTGAATATTCTATACGTCTCAGCACATATTAATTCTTCATAAGGATCTTTGTCTGCTTAAAATCATACATTTACATCTCTCTATCCACATTTCTCAGTTTCTTTTTCCTTGTTCCCTTGTGTCTGATTGTTCGCAGGTAAAATGATAAACTTATCATGTAATATATCGTTATTTTATGAAATAGATTTTCCTCATGTTTCTAGAGAGAAAGGAATAGGAGATTATCTTTGACTATCTAGTAGGTTAGGAAGGCCGTTGTTTCTAAGTTTTCAGACATTTCTTTGTCCAA